TTTTTAACTGAATGTAGACATTTACGTAAGAGTAATATCTTCATATTTTTGTAATGAGGAGGAAAAAGTAAAATGTTTTTAACTTATTTTAATGGAATATTAAAGTGACTTTTTAAGTAGAAATAATTACTAAGCGAATGGTATTTTTAAACAGTTGTAATATAAAAAATATTATTTTGATGTGAATAATATGAACAATAATAAATGAAAATAATATGAAAATAATGTATGAAAATAATATATGAAAATAATATATGAATAGAAAAATAATAAATGAAACATGTGAAGGTCACAAAGGAAAGAATGGTTTATGTCCCTAAAAGCTGATTGGGAGAAAAACGATAACGCTCTTAAAGGAAGAGTTTTTTCATTGTATATTCCATTTTCATTGCGTAATAACTCTCGGGGAGAACCGATTTTTATCGCATTGATTTGTGAAAGCTAACACAGAGAAAAAAAATTTGACAAAATTATCACTCTGTATGGTAATGACATTTCTGGTAAAAAAATCCCCATAATTCTAGTTAAGAAAACGAAAATATATGGTATTTAAACCATTCATTTGGTAATTTTTCCATTCATATGGTGACGGTATACCGGAAATTATGGTTTTCAAAACTACAGTTTTATTACCGCACATTTAGAGCAAAATACAAGACTGGAGACTTAAATAAACCGAATAAATGGTTATGATGCCCTGCTCTAAGATATCATGATGGAACTACTAAATATTACCACAGTTACCGAAATTTATCATATATTATGAAACCATATTTTATTCTTAATTTTTCCAAAATCCTTATCAAGGTGCTTCCGCAGAATTGCCGAGCATTCCCAAAGCGCCAGAAACACCGCCAATTTTACCATATTCTGATAGTTTTTACCTTACCTCTTTTCTCAGTATAGTACTCCTCAAAATGCTACAGATGGTCATGCAATAGTTATTTTTGTGAAAATGTACATAAATAGTTCTCCCACCTTGATCTTCGCGTATGCTTTAAAAATATTCTATTATCTGATATAGAACCGAGTCTTTCATTACATTAAAGTAAAGGGCCACAATTTTCGAAATTTTTAATTTTTTTTATTTATTGTTTTTCTTGCTAATATATTGATTTTAAGAAAAGAAATTTCAGTTAATAATAAACATTATGCTGCTATGAGGGTAAAAAACTTAATCTTAGAAAAGGCCAAATAAAAGTAAACTTTTTTTCCTATTCGGATTTGGCAATTTCTGTCTGCGCAGATGGAAATGTATATTTGATGCGAATGATATTACTGTTGTAAAATTGGATAAATAGTTAAAATTATACGGATAGTTTACAATTATAAGTAATTTGCTTTAGTTATGTAGATTTTTTTCTTGGTAAACGTAAAATAATTGATCAGATTAGATTTATATTTTCCTATTTTTTAATTCGAAAGCACTCTTGAATTAGAATAAGTATTTATATCATTTTAAATTTATATGCTTTATCTAAGTCAGAAGTATTATAACTGTTAATCTTTAAAGTTGAATAATTTAAAAAAAAATGCGCTTTAAATGTTTCCTTAAAAAGTAGAATTTTTTGAAATTGCATTTAACCTAAAACATATAGAAAAAAATAAAAGGATTGATATTACGAGCTTAAAATGCTACAAATATGGCATTATATGAGTAAGAATTATTTCTAAATAATATATGAATAAAAATTCTGATAACTACTCCTGTGAATACTTTTTCTAGAAATATTTAAGCGTGATCTAAAGATTGTGAAAGTAGGCAAGTAAATTCTATTTATAAACATAAAGTTCCAAGATGCAACATTACTTATTTTAAAACTTATGGACATAGTTTAAAAATATGTCATACATTTTTTTTCTAATTATTAAAATGTGTCTAAATGATATTCGAAATTATTAGTGAATCATATATTTTAATGTGTTTTTTTTTAAATGAATACTACTGATATTTGTTTTACTAATCAGACATTGTAATTGATTGTAATTATTTCCAAGTAATATTTCAATGAAAGTTTGTATATTAGTATTAAATGGTACGAAATTAACTGGAATTTCAATGAAAAAATCTGCATTACTTTTTTTGTTTTATATGACGAAGTTGACAAATTTACAAAATGTAAAATAAATTTTTAAAAAGCCAAAACACAATCAACATTTAAATTTATGTAAGAATCAGAGAAAAATTTTCGAGCAGTAGAATTTATTCAAATGCTTGCAACATATAAACTAATTAGTGCTGAAATAAATCTAGCAAAAAATTACAACAGAACGTTTGTTATTTTCTGTCTTTGATGGTTAAGAACCATAATTTTATCCGCTCACGTTAGCCGCTTAGTTCCTTGTAGCTGGGCACAAGAGCTGTGAGCCTTAATCTGACGATCTTATCACCGCTGAATGGGGGTTTGAATCCCAGCATTGACACCACAATATTTTTTCCATTCCTTCAACACATGAGGAGTTTCCAGTGTCCCGCAATTCCCTTTTGTTGACCCTGAACTATGGGAATATGTACCTCTCATTCAGATATAGATGAAAGCACCTTTCCTATTTATCACGAAAAATGGCAGTACTATATTAGCTAATCAGGATACATTCCACGATTCATTTGACAAAACACAACTCAATCACAACTTCACTTAAAGTCCATTACATATCAAAAACCTTACATAACCCAATTCCAATGTCCAGTTAAGTTTCAATTTTACTGTTTAAAAAAACGCTAGTTGTAAATGGTTACGAAATCGTATAATTTTGTATTCAAAGTTGTTAATCGAATCTATTGTCAGTTCATAAAATTAATCGTAAACTTAACAGACCACAGCCAGTTATTATACAGTGAATTTAGAATGCAAATTTTAACAGTATACTAACTTGATCTAAATAAAATAGATTTCACGACATTTTACGTTGTTAAAAATTAAGATGTTTCATGTTTATATTATTTAAACACAAATTTGATCAACTAGTGAATGAAATGTAGGCTATATTGTACAAATTTATGTCTTGATTCTTCCAACTTGTGGATGACAAAAATGATTTAGATTTCGAAGTAATTGTCTTCTTTTCTCAAATCCACCGAGTTCTATTCTTTCAAAGACATTCTTCTTTTCTTATCTAGCACTTACAAAACATAAATGGCAACATTTAACCTGTAACGCTCTTTGGTAGAAAGTATCAAAAGGTAAAATGCTAGTTTGTCCTTGTTATTGCAGCTTTAGAAACAGCTTTAAAACAGAAGGATTTTGAGCAATATATTGAAGTTTTTCAACAAATGCATCGAAATAATTCAATAGGGAATTTCAATTTACAAAAAAAGTGCAGCAACAGAAACTAACTTGCAGTTGAATGTTGCGAGCCAAATTTTGTCCTTTTTTTCATTTTTCTGACAGTAAACTTTATTCAAAGAAAACTATTTTTGCACATATTTTTGTAGAAATATTTTTATTTCAGAGGCATTTTTTGGTATTATTGAGCGACTAACAGTTAAGTTGTAAAATATTTCTTAATCTGTGCTTTACTTTTTCTTTTGAAGTTTAAGATGCGTCTAATAATGAGCAAAAATATTTGCTGATTTTGTCCTTAGACTGTGCCACTTTGTTGTCACAAATGATGGTTGTTTCGAAAACATCATTTTATTCTGTTAGGAGTGTCACATGTTGTCAAACATTATAATGTTGAAGCTTATAGAGAAAAATCTAGTTTTCCGAAGAAGATTGTAGCAAATGGTACATTTCTGCATCATTTTATTTTCCTTCGATTGGTTTTTCATTCTTCCATTTTCGGGATAATTCGAAAATGATATGTATGTATTTCTGCCGTACAAATGTATTTCGGTAGCAATATAGTTAATTTTATCTAATTGATTATTTAGAAACAATTAAACTAGGTGTATATAATATGTTTTGTCCAAATACTCGTGAGAAAAATAAGATCGTAGGAAAAATGAATTCATAGGTGGATCCCCTCACGCAGAAAAAAACTCGGGAAAAAATATTTGTACTGAATGGTAATGACATTTCTGTAAAAAATAAAAAATGAGGATAATTGACTAAATCTTATCACATTTGCTAAATTTTATTACGTATTATGAAACTATATTTTATTTTAAATTTTACCAACATCGCTACCAAAAGGTTTCGGTAAAAATTATTGAGCTTTTCAGTGATCCTATAGAACCAGAAGCACAACCAATTTTATCATACTCTGGTAATTTATTTTCTTATACCATACTTATTTTCTCAATGCAAAAACTAAGTTACAAGCAAGAGTATTTAAAAAATAATTATTGTGAAGCGAGTATATTTCCCCAGAGGAAAAACAGGTGGCAGTAATTGTCTGACAACCGTAGTATGAATATCTAATGCCAGTGTGGAGACGCGTCAGAGTCACTGTTTTGGTAAGATGTCTAGGAAAGCAGTCTTTGTAGAAGTGTTAGAAATAATTCTTTTCCTATAGGCAAAAAACGCCTTGGCACGTTGAGTGAAGGTGTCATCTTCTTGCATGATAATGCCAGATATCACAGTACGTGTAAGACTTAATCATTGTTACAAAACTTTATAAGGCCCAGATAGGACATTCGATGACTATTTTCTGTTTCCGAAATTGAAAAAAAAGCTTATATGGAACAAGGTGTTTTCAGACAAAGCTGTAAAAAATAGTTGCCGAGAACTGGATCGATGATAAGACATGGCATATTTACCAAAGAGGGTTGAACAAGTTGGTTCTGCGCTCTGATAAATACCAGAATAGGCTTAGTGATTATGTAGGAAAGGGATCGACTAGTTGAACTTTTAATTTAATTTTGTATTTTCTGTGTAATATTAATAGTTCATTTTTTATCGCCCTTGTAACGTATTTTTGTATCCATATTTATAAATAAAGAACTTGACAAATATCCCAAATGAATAATAATAAAGATTCTCTGTGCTTTCTTTCATTCAAAAGTTTAAAATTAATAAATTAAAAATATTCTTAAAATATGCTTCTTTTTTCAGAAGCAGGTCTTTGGAAACAGAAGTAGAGAACTTAGAAGAACTGAGGCAAAAGCTTTTTGGGTAAGTACGAAATATTGTCAAATTGATTTAAATTGTAATTAAAATTGAAGTACTGATATTATACATAGTTATTAATATAACTTTCATAATAACTGTAAAAAATCCAGATTAAATTTCGGTATAAAGTACTGGCACTCTGAGTGCATCATCGTAAAATCCATTTTTACCGTAAAAAATATTACACCATAAATTTCACAGGAATATTTATTTAATAAGAGTGATTCTGTAATTTTACGGTAATTAATACTATAAAAATTACGGTATATTAAATTTTTTGTTCCGTAACATGCTCCGGTAAGAATTTATTTTACTGTAAAAAGTACTAGCACCGGTACTTTTAACTGTAATTTGATCTGAAATGTTTTACAGTGTATTACCAGCATATTTACAGAATTTTTTTTAAAATCAATATGTTAAGGTTTACTTGACTGTTTCGCCTAAAATATTTGTTGAAAAATATCTCATGAAAATATTATTTTTGAAGGAATCATTCGATTAATTTGAACTTGAAAAAAAAACTTCGTTTCATTGCTTTTATGCGTAATAATTTCATTTCAAAATCAAGTTATAAACACATCTCTCGAGTTAAATTAGAGATATGGAGAGGAATCTTTCATTTAGACATTTCTTATTAGATAGAATCCTCAAAACATCACGATATTTCATACAAATGCCCTATTTAGAAAAAAATAATTATATTAATGCTTTCCTTTAAATGTATTTTTCCTAATGAAATTTCACTTTCTGCTCCACAGGAAAATCGATACGAATGAAAATACAGAATATGAGACTTTAGATGAAAAAGATGTTAAGTAAGATATTTAATATTCTCTGCACTAGTTGAAAATATTTAGTAAATGTTATTAATATAAGAAAATTACATTTAAAAAAATGATATTAGCGTAATTGAGAGATCAAAAAATAATTTATTTCTTTGAAGTTATTTCATTAAATTTTGATATTACTTTTGAGAAAAGGTACATAAAATAGGATATAAATTTAAAGCTATAGCTATACTTTCTGAAACGGAGTTATAAGTAATGAATTATGTTTTTGTTTTTATTTTCATGCAAATATTTTTCAGTTTTATAATACTGTGCGATAACTACTCGATTAGACCATAATATAATTTTAATTTAATCACTTTACACTGTTGAACCATTAAACCATTTTAATTTACATACATTGCAACATTAAATGGATACATTACATGCATATATCATTATTTTAATTTACAACACAATAAGGTACTTTAAATATTTGATGATACTGTGGTTCAAAGTTAAACTGATTTTTCCAATATAATATTTAAAATAACATATCAAGCTTCACTAATCGCAAATAATTTTTTATGTGCCTCAATAGATATAAATTTAAAGTATGTTAAGTAAATTTATGAAACAAATTTTGTTACTAATCCAATTTATGTTATCTAAAATATTATATGCAATGGTGCATTATAACAATGATGCTTCCGACAAATCATGTTAAAGTAAAAATAATAAACTCAACCAATACTATTTCATGCAATTTGGTTCATTCGAAATGAATCCATTAAAATAATCAACAAGAATTTTGAATAAAAAAACATTCACAAAATATAATTTGTTAAACTAATTTTATTCCCTGAAGCACTTTCTTATACAGATACAAGAAATATGCAGATTTTTTTTTATATTCTTTTATCATGTCTAAATGTTTGTCAATGACATTTGAAGAAGAACAATTTTGAATAATTTATCTTCAGCTAAATTAAGATCTTCAATATTATAACGCTGTTGACACTATCGACGGAAACAATCATTAATCGTTAATATTATTTGAAATACATCAATCATATTGCACCGAGACACTTTTAACGTCAATTATGGTATCGTATGTTGTGGAAAAATTGTTAATAGCTTAAAGCACTTTACCATTCGATAAACAAGTGAAAGAGGCATTCAATGAATCTTTGTCACCTGTATATTCAAAAGACATGAATAATTTATTCAAAGGACAAAACGGTAAACAATTTTCCAGGATTGGATGCAAAATTGACATAAGTTTATTCATAATTCTACCAGAGTTTAACTAATAATAGAACTTCTATTCTGTAAGAGATATTTAAGTTGCATTGTTATGCATTTAATTAACAAATACCCACACTCAGGATACTGTTTGTTCAGAGGTGAATTTTTAGGAAATTTCTCATATTATGTAGAATATATTTGCATGACAGTATGTTTAAGTGAAATGCGCGACTAATATATTTACAAGCCTTCATTTCAATGCAAATTTTAAATCTTGGCGTTGAATTTTTATTCATTTTTCACTAAAGTGTTTGTACAAGAGACAAGAAGAGAGGATATTTTTTTGAGTCAAACTGCAATAACAATTATGAAAGAAGTTTGGAAAAGGGCTTGTAAATTATAGAATCTTTAAAAAATTATATTAAAATTTTGAAAATTATTTTGCATAAAAATTTTTTAAGCAAAATATGTATAAAATATTTAAATTAAGTACTTATTAATTTGCTTGAAATTTTTAATTTAAACTTGTTTTATTAGCATAAATAAATTCTAAGTTGACAATTACATCTTTCGGACTTTTATTGAGATTTTAAAATAAATATTTTGAGAAATACTTGGCAACATAAAGTCAATTACTATTGTAGATCACTTTCTTAAGTTTAACTAAATTTAAATTACTAAGTTCATTAAAATAAAAGTAAATTAATTTTATTTATAAACTTAATGAATTAATATTATATTTTTTAATTAAGTTATTAATGTATACTTTAATATACAGGGTGGTTCTAAAAACACAAATCAGAAATGTAAAGGCATGTAAAGGGATTCTAAATAAGCATATTTCATAAAGAAGTATGTGTGCAGAAATATCGCTTTTAGCCAATAGAGAGCACTGTTGCTTACTAATGTGCAGCAATTCATGCACCGCTGTGAATCTTGTGTTCCTGTAGGTAATCACTGTTTCGAGCAGCTGTTTTAAACTGTATTTTATTATAATTGAATTGCAAACTGTTTGAATTTGTATAAGAAGGATGATGAGAAAATGCAGCATTAAAACGCTAGCACATTAGGCAGCACTAATCATAAGCAAAAATTTTAGTTAAAAAAAGAAACTCAATGATTTATGAACACTTTACGATAGCTAACAATCAAAATGTTTAAAATCAAATGACAATCATTTACTATTTCCAACAGCTGATTGAAAGTAAGCATTATTAATATGGCAAACAAGTAAGATTAGTAGGCAACAGCACTCTCTATTAGCTTGCTTATTTACGTCCCCTTTACCTGACTTTATACAGGGTTATTCATAATTCCCTCTGGGGTTTCGAAGCGCTATAGTAAAAACACGAAGACGAATATGGCAAAAAAAACATATGAAATTATTCCGAAAGTCTTCAAGTTTTAATTTAAGCAGTTGCCGGCAGTAACATGTACCACTGAAGCCAGTTGTAATGAAGAAAAATGGCGTTTACAGGCGGAAGGAATTATGAATAACCCTGTATATTTGACATAAATTTTTGAACCATCCTGCTGACGTATTCTAAGTAACTTTTATTTAAAATAATTTTTTTTAATTTAAAATATTGTATGAAAACTTATTCTTTTGGTTTATATTTTAGTCATTTAGAGTTTCCAAGAAACTTTATTGACATTTTGAAGAAACGGATTGGAAGGCCCATCATGAGGAACTTAGATTACTAACTAGAATATCAACAAGGTATTGCATTATAAAACAATTTTTTATTTATACTTTAATGATAAATATTTGATCATTTGCCTAGATCTTGGTGTTTGATTCAGTATAGTTTCCATTTTGAATTAAAATCAATATGCATCAACAATCTAGAGTTTGTTAGATACTTTTCGAATTTTTAGGTTCCTATTATATAAAAAGAAAAGGCTCTTATCTCATTTATGCAACGGCTGAAGAAATTTACGAAAACTACTCACAGTTAGCTTAAAAAGTATAGAGCTGTAGCTCGTAACTTAATAGTTACAGAAAATATTTTACGCCATAACTGTTGACTACGAAGAGATAGGAACTAATCACGTCTCACCTTGACCAATTCATTTTAATGTTCAACACAATTGCATATTAGATAAATTATCCCAAAAAACTAAAGTGGTAAGATGTTACTTGATTAAAACTTCATTCAATTCAAAAATATGCAAATTGGAAGTAACAGTCCACTGTTATTTCCAATTTGTTACGAATGAAACGAATGAAGCAAAATAGTTCTGTCGCGTCTTTTGTTTAGAGATTCTGAAAGGGAATGGTTTGCAAGATTTTCCCTAACGTTATCGAACGTCATCCAAAAGGGAAATTTTAACCATCTCGATTCGTTTTAACAGATGGAGCCATAAAGACTTCAAAGCATTTTTGGGATATTCTTAATGAGTATATTTCCAATAATTGTTACCCATTAACAAATAATCTTTTACTTTTAATGGCTATTTGTTTTCAATCAAGAAAGTTTTCAATAACTCAAAATTAGCAAGCGAAATTTATTTAAAACTATAAATATATATATATAAATCATTCGATTAATTTGAGCNCAGAGCTTTTTATTCACTTTACTTTTTTGGGATTTTATGAACTGAAAAATTACAGTTTTCGTGAGAATGACCCATATATATATATATATATATATATATAAATAAACAATATCTTTTTTCAGAATAGTCAGCTTATAAAATTAAGAAGAAAAAATGGACTTGTAAATAAAAACATTTAAGGTACACAGCTGTTCAGAGACTGTTATGATCCTTATAACTGTGCTAAAATAAACTAGAACAACACTAGTAACTGAAAAATATATGGTAAAAATATTGACACTTATTACGAAATGGGGAATTGAGTGAGTTGGAATAATAATAAAAAACAAAAAAAAACAAAAAGAAAATAACAAATTCCAAAGTAAATTTTGCAAGACAAAGACAAAATTCCCCCCAAAAGAGGTCGAAAGCAAGAAAAAGGTATCGAAAATAGCTCCCATTTTTATTATTCAGAGAGAGTTGTTATTAAATAAACGGTATTAAATAAATAGATTTACTGACATCAATTAAACAGCTTAGCGTTATGTTGGGCAGGTTTAAATATACAAATTGTCAACTAAAACTGGAAAATGAATACATATTGGAAAATGTATTAAAAATATTACATTATTTCTTAAAAAGTGTAAAATGTGTTTGACAATGTTTATTTTATTTATTAGGTTCTAAAAGAACTTTGAAGAATATAAAAGATAAATGAAGACAAGAAAAAAGAAAATGTGTCACCTCATATTTGTAAATTTTTTTGAATTCTCAAAAAAACATCTGTTACAGATTTATTATAAGATAAGAGTGTTTTAATAAGTTATTTATTATTTATTGTAATTTATTATATATTTATTTTTGTGTCTGTTAGAGTTTCTCTGCATTTATGTTTAACGTGTTGTGTCACATGTAAATAAATGTGTTAAAATGATTTGTTTATTGTTTTTTTTCCAACTGCATATGCATAAATTTAAATACAATTTTCATAGTAATTCTAGCAAGAAAGAAAAAAAAACATTTAGAAATCAAAATACAACACTTTTGCAATAAATTATTTTAGTGAAATAAATAATACACTATTAGAAATTTCTTTGAATAAATGGGTAAATAAAAATTTTTTAAATGGTTATTTTACCATATTCAAGCAAAACAGTCAAATAACCATAACATAAAATGGTATTCGAACGCTAACTGTGAGAAAAACAGCTTATTAACTGCTTTCACCTAATATGGTTAAAAAATTAAAGTTTTATCCCACCAACTAGGCCAGCCTAATAAAGCCAATAGTTCTTGAAGCTGGGTTAATATTATAGCCGAAAGGGTCAATCTTTCAATCTCAAAAACACCACAATATTTCCTCAATTATCTTCAATACATGAAGAGTTTCCAGTGCCCTGCATTCCCTAATTTATTACCCTGGGAATTTTTAAAGTATGATACTCTCATTCACGTATAGATGGCAGCACCATAAAGCTAATAAACTACCTCAAATGTCAGGTTAAATTCTTTTTATCGCATTTTTGAAACTATACCAGGCCAGTTGTAAATGGTTTAAACACCATATAGTTTCATGATTTTTTAACCATACAAGTTAAGAGCTGTATCAATACTGTTACGGTAAAAAATGTTCGTTACCTTAAACTTTACGGGTATGAAAGACTGCCCTTTATTTTACCATAATTTTAGAATAAAAATTCTAACAGTGTAAGGTGAGTTCAAATACTATGTTATAAAGTCAGTTCAAATAGTGTGATAAATTCTAAAGTGAGCTTAAATAATCTGATAGTGAAGAGGTGTACCATGATATTTTTCATAGAATTGAAATATTTGGTAACCTTCTTAAGCTTTGTTATAGAAAGACAAATAATTAATGGTTCAGCTACTGTTGCAGACAGAAAATTATTTGTTAAAATAAATTGAATCGCAATTTATTTTTATAAATAAGTAAACCCAGAGGAAATACTGAAATAGTATAGTAGGTGGTTCAAAAATGTATTATGCGTATAATCTTGCAGATAGATATAAATAATATTAGACTTGTGACTGTCCAAGAGTCCAAGAGTCCTAGACTTGTGACTGTCCAAGAGAGAGAGACATACTGATATTTGTCTTTAAGAAATTTGATTCCAGATGACGCAAATTCAATCGAATCTTTACATCAAAGAAAACCAAGTCATGGTACATTCTCTGGTCAAAAATGCGCTTCAGTAAGATTTGATACTAATAGTAGCTACTGTTCCTCTCCCTAGATGAGAGCTTAGCTAAAACTTTATGGATCAAATATATGTATTCATCCTAAACCGAAATTACTTTTTCTCGAATTGATTATTAGTTTTCTATGACCATTCAAATTTTGTTCTTGTTTCTGGAATTTCAATGATCTGGCACAAAGAATATTAAAATGATTATTCTCTTACTATTTGTCAATATTTTTTCTTTTACTAAAACATCGAATTGAATGTAGTTCATAATAATGTGCTCTAGCATGGCGGAAATGATTTTACCCTCACTTTTATTTTTTTCTTGCTTTTAAACATATACCAGGGATTTTCTTAGCAAGCAGAAAGAACAGACAAATCCAAGCTGTTTTTAATTACTCTCTTGTATATGAAATCATTTTTGGTTGGTGTTTTATTTTTTTTGCTGAAATGAATTGCTTGCTTGAAGCAGATTCCATCTTTATTATGATTTACTAACTCCTAACTTTTTTCAATAAGATTGTACAAGAAGTGTTTGAGTTCTACGATGTTCTAAATTTGTTAGTCAAAGAAATTGGCACATGGTCTGGAGAAAGTTAGTCACCTCTCCTTCACAGCTTATTTACTTACTGCTTACTGCTAAACGTTTAGTTTGAAAAGAATAAGATAAAACTTGAGAAATGAAAATTGAAAAAATAATTAAAGAAAAGTAGGATAATTTTGCGTTCGAAAAATAATCAAGAACTATATTTTTACACAGGGTTTTGATGAAGGAATTATTTATATGCATTTATAATTGATATTAAGCTATTTAAATGATGAAGCAAAGTGCAAAATAAAACAAAAAATGCAAATTTAAACAATCAAGCAAAAAAGGAAAATAAAAAACAAGAAAATACTGAATAAAACATAAAAAAGTAAGATTTAAAGTGAGTAGTGAATTCGAATGTGTTTGAACTTAGCGGCATCATTAATAATTATTCAAAATAATTTCGTAACAAGTTTTCTGGATTACAAAATATGAAAAAAGAAGTGTAAATAGAGTTTGAGGAGATCTTTTTATGGAGAGTTCTTATTGAAGTTCAAAAGCGCGTTGGATTTGTTAGTTACCTTTGATTGGATCAAACTGGATGTGCGCAAGGTAATATTACACTGGATAATTCAAAGTTTATAATTAATAAGGGTGCATTTTAATTATAAAACTTTTTATATTGAGGATTTTAGAGAAATTATTAACTTTTAATGAAGAATAATTTTTTAGTTTGTAAAAGAAATTCTTTATTAAGTATTAGGAGATTTTTAGTCATATAGTTGCCACAACTGGATTGCTACAACAACATGGTAAAAATATAAATTTAGTTAACAAAGAATTTTTAAGTAAAACTATTATACTTTATTAACTTAATACTTATAATACTTTGTTAACTTATACTTATAGTTAACTTAACGATTTAATACAGAATAAATTGCATTAGTTGGATATCAGCTATTTCTTAGAAAATTTTTGAAAGAGTTCATTTATTTGTTTTATCTATAAATAAACATTACAACAATTTCGTTTAATTCTATTCACTTGGTTAAAAATGTTATTTAAATAATGGTTTTAAGAATATTAGAATTCCATGTCATTAGTTTATTTATATTAAATATAAATCAACAATGCAGATATTTTCTTCTTTTTAAATATTGAAATCTAAAAAATTAAAATAATATTATCATCTTGATTGCGAAACAACATTAATAAAATATTTAACAAAATTGCATAATTTTGAAAATGAAAGATAATTAAATCATAAATAAATCTAAAATCAAATTTAATATTAAGAGTAATAATGTAAAAATAAGTTAACTAATAGTGATTAATAATTAGATCCTTGTGGCATTCCATCAATTCGAAAAAAATACCCCCTTCATTGTAAAAATAATTATTAAAAAGATAAAAATTCGTTAGAATTTCCCAATAATCAAAATCACAATAACTTAAAAGAATATATTTTAGCTTAGAAATGGGCATGCTATTAAGAGCATACTTGGAAATTAAAAGTCACCATAGAATTAATTTTATAACGTTTAATAAAATCTAATATAGGTTGATTATTAGTGATAATTCAAGAAAAAACCTCTTTAATATTGTTAATAATTTTATTTAAGTAGCTAGAGAAAATGTTGCCCGGTTTAATTAGGTAAGAATTAGTAAAATTCCCAAAAGTGATTGCTCCAAATTTAATTGGAGTTTCACGAAATTTTGGACAGATTATTAGGTATGGAAATTATATATTATTAGTTTCAATTTTTAATCTTTCATATAAAGCTAAATTTTTTTTTAATAATAGTATTATTATTTAAATTACTAGGGTAAAATTATTAAACTATTATTTTACAGTGTAGGAATTTTTCCAGAAGATTGCAAAATTATTATTAACTTTGTCTATGGGGGTAATTAAGTTTTTTTTTGTAGTTGCTTAATTGATGGAACAATTTTGGAAAAACTTGTTGACTTGAGATCAGTAAACAATTAAAATCGATGTTCAATGGGTGCACATTGAATTTTTTAAAAGTTTACTGATATAAAAAGTAATGTAAATTAATAGAACATACGAAAAAAGTAATAAGTGATTCGTATAAAATAATTTCCTTATCTTTCAATATTGATTTAAACATTGTATTTTATAAAAAAGAGAAAATATCTCAAAATGTTTTCCATCTGAAACGTCAGATGTCTGTGTGGAACTTAACTCTTCTTTTCTCATTTTTCAGGGGATTGTGGAATGAGGTAGAATCTTAAAGAATCTCATTTTTTAAAAAAAGGAATTACACACTAAAAGAAATCTCTCAGAAAAATGATTAAATAACAATTTATTAAATTGTTATTTCACCATATTCAAACAAAGCAGTCAAATAATCACAAATAAGATGGTATTCAAACTGTTTACTGTAAGAGAAAAACAGTTTATTTACTGCTTTCACCTAATACGGTTAAATAACCCGAATTTTATGGCACCGACTAAACACACCTAATGAAGTACTTAGTTCCTCGCAGCTGGGTACATATTATAGTCCAGAGGGCTAATTTGCTAATTTCACGATCGACAGAACGAGGGTCCGAGTCCCTGCGTTCTCACTACACGATTTCCCTTCAACATATGAAGAGTTTCCAGTGCACTCCTCAAGTTGTTACCCTGGATTATTGGAATACGATACTCTCATTCTCGTATAGATGGCAGCACTATAAAACTGCTTAAAACAAAATGGGCTAGTATTTCTCTCATCTTATGAAAGGTGATACAACTAGATGAATTAATTAAACCTCTTTTCATAGTTCATTTTATAAAATACAACTCAACCACATACTAACTCATTACCAAATGATAAAACCATAAAGTTTTGTATTCATGGTTTTTTAATCATAATAGTTGTAATTGGTTTCAAAACCGTAAAGCTAAAAAATGTTCTTTACCGTAAACTTTACTGCTGATTGGATGAACAGACGGTTTTAATAATACCGTAATTTTAGAATAAAAATTCTGACACTGTAGCTCTAAATAAGAAAAATTATAGCTCCAAAAATTACCTCGAAAAATATCGAAATAGAACTAAAAATAGCTACTCAATAATTAGGATTTTTATTTGTCTTAAATGACATGCCTATAAAATGTAATATCAGGCAATATTACATGAATATAATATTTTAAAGAATAAATAATAATTGAAAAAATTAGTAAATGAACTAAAT